CCATGACAAAAATCACGGCCGAGGTGAGCACCCTTCCTTGGCAAGTTATCTAAGGGAAACCCTGGACTTAAATAGCACTTTACTATCTGAACAAGACCCTAAAAGATCTTTACAACAACACGTGTCCTCGTTTACCTTCAACACACACATTCATACAGCACTCTACTAGATCTCTACAAAGATCATCTGAATCTGTAGAGACTAATCGGAGCTTTAGATCACATTCATACAACAATGGGACACGCATCAGAGGGAGCGAGGGGTTCACTGTCTTGCTCAAGGACACTTCAACATGTGATTGCTGGTGGAATCAAACCTTCAACTCTCCCATTGGAGGACCACTACTCTAACCGCTCAGCCACAGCTTCCAAAAAGGATAGGAAGCAAGAAAAGGATGTATTGTATTATGAATTAGGGGAACATTTAGTGGGGATGTATTAGAAGGTACCTGCCCCTAAGCATCATATTGCCCACCTTGCTGGGAGGGGTGGGGGTGGGGGTGGTGGTGGTGGTGGTGGGGGGGGTGTGACAGTGAACTAAAGTGTTTCCACATCTCAGATCGACCTCTCTTCATTGTAGGTTTAATCTCAAAACTATTTCCTCACTCCATGCATTATCTTTTACCCGCTTCTTCCATTTTGGGTCACGGGGGTCGCCGGTGTCCATGTCCAGCAATCACTGTGCGAGGGGCGGGGGACACCCTGGATGGGTCGCAAGTCCATCACAGGGACACATAGAGACAAACGAGACAAACAACCATTCACTCTCTCACTCACACCTAGGGACAATTTAGAGTAACCAGACAGTCTAACATGCATGTTTTTGGTCTGTGGGAGGAAACTGGAGTACCTGGAGAAAACTCACGCATGCACAGAGAGAACATGCAAACTCCACCCAGAAAGACCTCACTCCTTAGAATTCAATCCACAAGTCTTCAGAGCACAACACATCTCACGTCTGTATTGCACACCGCTAGCTTAGCTTAGTGCTATGTCAGTACTGGCAGTTGTCGACCGGGGTGGGGGTGGGCAGGTTTGGTGTGGAAGGTGCTCTGTTCTGTTGACAGGGCGGGGCTCCCTGCTTGTACAATGGTAGGAGAAACACTGCGGTCATATGGGTGTGTATGAAACAAAGGGGTCAGGTGGTTCTGGTGGAACGGATCAGTCCTCGATACAAAGTTTCTCTGACAGTCACTTTGTTTTTTTGACACGCACCTCAGAGTTTTGGGAGTGAAGGGTTTTTGTTAGACCCCTGTCCAAGGCAGGATGGAATATTCTGGTGTAGTCTTTGTCCGTCAATTTTTTCTTGTCCTGCCCATAACTTCTGACCCACTCATCATTTAATGAAACTTCTTGCACATCTGCATCATCAAACACAGTCACTTTTCATTACTCTAGCTCCAAGGTCAAAGTCACAAATCAAGGTCAAAGTTTATACAAGATCTTTGCTTGTCTGCTATAGATTGTTGGATAATAGTTTGTTGATGGGTGTATAATGTGTCGTATGAGGTCATCTTTTTATTTGATGTTCTTCTTGCTTTAAAACCAGGAATTTAAGTATTTTTAATGTGAATAAAACTAATAGAAGTAATGTAACACCAAAAACATTAAGGTTTACTTGCATTCCCTCTTCATTTCCAGTCTAGAAAAACACTCATCTTTTAAACTACAAACATTCACTACTCAAATTCCTCAGTGACAGGAACATAGGCCTCCATTGTTTGTTTCACAATTAAAAAAACATTTACCATCTTTAAAGGTGTGAAAACTAAAAGATACAAACTTTCCTAAAACATTTTTTAAACCCAGGTTACTGTAGTACTTTTGCACCCTGCAGTATAATGAAGCAGAGAGTTGTTATAAAAACCAGGTGAATCCCATCAGCTCTGACACGCTGCTTCTGGTTTGGACTAATAATCATCATTATGGGCAGGAAATGCTGTCCATTGTGTCATATTTATTCCTTCAGCTGAAGTAAAAATCACATCTTCACCTAGGATCTGTTTAGGATCTGTTCCTAACTGATGTGATGTTTATCCTTCAACCAAACTGATTTAGTCCTTTAAAGTTTCTGTTTGGCTTTTGACAGTTTGACCCCTCGAGAGTTCAACTCGTATGGCTCCCGTCGAGGCAACGACGCCGTGATGGCCAGAGGGACGTTCGCCAACATCCGCCTCTTCAACAAGTTCCTCAACAAGCAGGCGCCGCAAACCGTTCACCTGCCGACAGGAGAGACGGTCAGGCTGGAATGTTTTGATGGTCTAATACTGAAAAGAGCGTCTCTCCCACTTCAGTTTTAAACACTGATCCTTTGTTTATTGTTTCTCAGTGACCTAACAAATAATTCAGTTCATTGTTTTGAAGTACCTTTTTGTCTGTTTGCTCCCAGCTGGACGTGTTTGACACTGCAGAGCGGTACCGGCAGTCCGGTGTCCCGCTGCTGGTTCTGGCAGGGAAGGAGTACGGTTCAGGGAGCTCCAGAGACTGGGCGGCTAAGGGCCCCTTTCTGCTGGTGAGCTGCAGTTTTACCAGCAGTTGTCATGTGATGAGTTCTTTAAATGTCAGGCACATCTGGTTGGTGCTGCCATACAAATGCATGAAGAATACAATTTATGGAGGCATGGTTCTTATCGTGTGCTCTTCCTGTAAAGTTATGCACGATTACAGCAAAATGACTAGGAAACTTAAGTACAACTTATAACCAGATATTCTCCCAAATTTTTGATGCAAAGCAAGTAATTCTGCTTAGACCAATTAGTCTCTTTACAATGATTTGTTCAGTTAGCTTTGTATAGATCTAGTATAGAGCTGTATGAATGGATAAATGAGGACACAGATTGTTGTAAAGAGCTTTGAGTCTCTATAAGATAGAAAGGCGCTATATAAGTACAGTCCATTTACCATTTCTATTTAATTCAGGAATGCTAGTGAGAGGATCTGATAAAAGCGTGTCATCGGCATATAAAGAAACTTTGTGCTTAGGCCTGTCACAATAACAAATTTTGCTGGGCAATTAATTGTCTCGGAAATTATTGCTGTAAACAATAATTGTTTGAAATTTCACAATAATTAGTAAGTATGGTCAAATTTAAGAAGAAATTTTGTGCTGACGTTGTGCTATTTTAGATGTTCATGTATCAAAATGTTCATCTCATTCAACAGATGGTTGCTCTAACTTTTGTTTTTTTGTACTTGATGGTTTTAAAGTTTTATACAAGTTTTAAAAGGTTATAAATGTCTTTATACTTTTATCATTTTTATACATAAAACAACTTTATTTACAAACGTCCCATTTAAAATACAGTGAGATCTATTCAGAAACATTGTTCTCAGTGAAATCTTTGTCTGCTAAAACAGCTGCTGCTACACACAGATGTTCTGTTGGTGAAGGCAGACTGTTAAAACTCTGATCACTGATGAAAAGGCTCGCCAGCATCACAGACATCAAAACAGTTCTGAAGATTAAAGATAATATAAATTACTAAACTATTGCATTTCATATGTGAATTTAGCCTCCTGAGACCCGAGCTCTGGTTTGCGATGCATTTTTCATATCTCCTAGATATTTGTGTAAAAATAAAGCTTCCTCTTCGAACAGGAAGTTGTATTTTGTTACATGGTTATGACATACTTTTGTTAAAAAAAAAAAAAGTGGGGACAATGGACTTATTTTACAGCATAACACAACAATATTGACATGGCTTAACAAAATATAAAACACGGTTGAACAGAGAAGTAGAAGGTACAGCAAAGCCTAAATGTAATGTCCCCATATGTGGACACAGGGTCTCAGGAGGTTGAACAAGTGTTGGTACTGGTGCACACAGGACTAGTTTTCATCTCAGATCTGGCTTCAGCAGAACGTCAGTAAGCCTCAAGCGAAGTGCTCTGTTAGGAAAATATGGAACAATAAGATCTGTAATATAAGATGGAGCTAGGTTGTTGAGAGCTTTGTAGGTTAGAAGTAAGATTTTGAATTCTATTCTGGATTTGACAGGGAGCCAAAGGAGAGAAACTAAAACTGGAGAAATATGATCTCTCCTACTAACTCCAGTTAAGACTCTGGCAGCAGCATTTTGGATCAACTGAAGACGTTTTAAAGAAGTATTTGGACACACAGATAATAAACCATTGCAATAGTCCAGTTTAGATGTGACAAATTAATGAACCAGTTTTTCTGCATCATTTTTAGATAAGATGTTTATAATGTTAGTGATATTACGCAGGTGGAAGAAGGCGGTTCTAGTAATGTTTTTAATGTGGGGGATGAAAGACATGTCCTGATCAAAAATAACACCAAGATTTTTAACATTAGAGCTGGAGGACAGATTAATGTCATCTAAGGTTCATGTGGTCTGAACTGATTGCACCCACACAAACAGGGTAGCCTTTTGTGTTACCATGGTGACACAATTAATTAGGCACTATGAAAACACCTTGTTCTTGGTCAAGCTGTGTTGGTTTTGTGTTTTTAGGGGATAAAGGCCGTTTTAGCTGAGAGTTATGAGAGAATCCACCGCAGTAACCTGGTGGGGATGGGGGTGATCCCCCTGGAGTATCTGCCAGGAGACACCGCTGACAGCCTGGGCCTGACAGGCCGCGAGCGCTACACCATCATCATGCCTGAGCAGCTCACACCCCGCATGACCGTACACGTCAAGGTCAGTTAAAAGGATATTTAGGCTGTTTTTACGGTGCTTCTGTGTAAAACTTGTTTAGGTAATGTAGCTGTTGCAGATGGTGCTGTGAAGGACTTTATGTGGAGAAAGTTCATTTCAGCTAACTGGAAGACAAAGTGGACTAACGTCTGATATGTGACCCTCTGACGTGGTCTCTCTGTGCCCTCACAGCTGGACACGGGGAAAACATTCAAAGTGTGCATGAGGTTTGACACGGACGTGGAGCTGACCTACTTCCACCACGGAGGAATCCTCAACTACATGATCCGCAAGATGTCCCAGAACTGAGGTTCTGGTCATCCACTGCAGCCCAACGTCGTCCAGGAATCCACAGATCCCAGAACCTTCCACAGCACTTACCCCAGGATTGTCCTTTACCTGTCGCCTTGTCCCTGGGACCAGTGGACCGGAGTGGACTGGTTTATGACTGCCTGGGTCTGCTGTTGGTGCGCATGCTTCCTGTGACCTGCAGGGGGCAGTAACGCACCAACAAACTCATTTTACTGCTCTGGACGTCCAGAGGGTTTTATCAGACCTCCAGGATCCATGCTGGGGTTATTTTAACTATCACCAAAAGTGGTCTGTTAGCAAAATATCTCATGAACATCTGGACAGATTTTATTGTAACTCACAGAAAGTAATTATTGGATCTGCCTCTGCTGAATTTAACTTTTGGATTCCACATGATTTGAGAAGGCCACCAGCAGCATAGCTGTAGTTCTGTCACTTCAACAGTTAATGAGCTAAAACTAGGTGTGGTAGTAGCTGAGAGTCATCCTCCAGCTCTCAGATCACAGGAGCTTCTGCAATACTGCACAAGATCCAACAGGATCATTTCTGACGTTTGATGAAGGAGGTTTTAACTGTCCTCTTTCATCAAACATGGTTTAACACTGTTAAAGCGAGCGGCGTGCGTTCCTTCAAGGACTGCTGGCCTTTTAAATGTTTTAATCTTTTCTCCATAATTAGGAATCCATGACGTGGTGAGTAAAAGCTCCAAACAGGAATCATATTCCCATAAATCTGACCCAGGCTGTGATAAACCAGTAAATGTTGGACATCAAGAGGACGTTTTAGGACCAAGAACTCCTTCTGGACCAAGTTTGATCTTGTCTGTTCTTCTCTGTGATTTGGTTCTTTATGTTGATGCCCTCTCAAAGACAGAGCTAAATGTAACCAGCTGTCTTATTTCTGTGATCAGACTGTGGCTTGTAGACCTGCTGCCTTAATCTATCTGTCTCGCTCTGTGATGCTTTCATCCTTTAAATGCTGCTTGTTGTGATTCTGAACTCTCACCGCTGTCTTTCTGTTCCTGTTCAGGCAGAGTACCTCCAAAAATTACAACTTTGTTTTGTTTTGGAAAATTTCTGTTAATAATTCTTCCTCTAGCTTTTAATAAATGTGTTTCATCTCAGGGTCTAATTAGAACAATTGTTTGTTTTGCAACGACACAGTGTGTTGGTGCGGCTGTGGCTGAGTGGTTACAGCAGCCATCCTCCGATGCAAGAGTTGGGGGATCAATTCCACCAGCAGTCATCTGCTGAAGTGTCCCTGAGCAAGACACTGAACCCCTCATTGTCTCTGATGTGTGTCCCATCAGTGTATGAATGTGATCTAAAGCTCTCATTAGTCTACAGATTCAAATTATCTTTGTATAGATCTAGTATAGAGCTGTATGAGTGGGTAAATGAGGGACAGATTGTTGTAAAGAGCTGTGAGTATCTTGATCAGATAGAAAGGTGATAAATACTAGTACAGACCATTTACCATTACTTACACATTTTAATCCAAACTTAAAAGTGCCTTTTTCTTTGTGTGTTCAGAAGTTTGGACACCATTTCTGTCAAAAGCATCACACTCCTCTGCCTCCTGCACCTCAAGTTTTTGTAAGATATGATTTATTTAATTTTAGGTTTGTTTTTTGCATAAAAACTGCCTCCCTTTAGCTCAGGATGTCAGGGAGTGACAGTGTGTGATTACCATAGTGACCATAATAAACCGCTGGCAGCAGCTTTAAGGATTCTTTTGATTGGGTTTGTTTCTGCCCTTCTAGTCTAAACTTGTTTATTTTTGTTTGTAGCCTTTAGCTTCATTTTCAACATCAACCAGAGACACGATGACAGGATTAGATGTGTATGTTTTTAATCCCTTCTTAAAATAGTCCCTAAAAGCCCTGTGGCTCCATAAATAGTCTGCAGGCTGGTCAGAGCCAGCTCTCTGCTTCTGAGTCCCTGTCAGGCGCGTGTGGAGATGAAAGTGACTCACGAAGCTGCTTGTGTGAGTTGAAAACAGGAAACGAGAGCTTAGGCTTGTGTGATATCACTGATGTTCCTTCCTGTTGTTGGCGCCTCATCAGCCGGCAGTCTGAACAAAGAACTCCGTCTCAGAACAACAAACATACATGGAAAAAACATTCACTTCAATGATTTCAGTTATACATGGCTATCAAAAGGCTTGTGTGTGTTTGTGTATCTGTTAGCAAAATATCAATCACTGGACTGAACTTTTGAAAAGTATATATCTACAATTTTTGACTTTTTGAGTCAACCCCATTCAAGTTGGCCACCAACTGCCCTCAGAACAAGGATACAAAAATATATTTGTCATTTTACCACCAATCATCCACAGTCACATCCAGCTCTTCCACGATTGAGAATTTCAAGGCAATATCAGGATAGCTGGGAGTACTGTAGTCTTTCCAGCAAGTATTGGGTTTTTTCTCTGGTCTCCTCCCAGTTGGGCATGTCCAGAAAACTTCCCCAGGGAGGAGTCCAGGGTGCGTCCCTTCCAGATGTCTGAACCTCCTCAATTGGCTCCTCTCAATGTAGAGGAGCAGCGGCTCTACTCCAAGTCTCTTCAAGACAAACTAATCACCTTCTCTGTAAGACGGCCTGGAGAAATAAAAAGCCAATTAGTAAAAGTTGTCTATCTGAGGAAGCAGCAGATAGTGTTGAATCTTCACTTCGTCTCAGTCTCCCATCCTGAGCAAGTACAAAGGAGACAGTGGAGAGGAAAAACTCCCTTTTAACAGGAACAAACCTCCAGCAGAACCAGACTCAGGACGAGCGGCCATCTTCTTTGACCAGCTGGTTTGAGAGGACAGGAAGAAGAGACAGACGAACACAGAATGGCAGGTCCAGATGTAGGTGCAGGTATAAATTATGACATGATGACGCCAACAGGACCACATCATCTACAAATAGAAATGGAATCCTGAGGCCATTGAACCGGACCCCTCCACCCCCTGGCTGCATAGAGAAATTCTGTCCATGAAAATTATGAACAGATTTGGTGACAACTGGCAGCCCTGGTGGAGACAACGCCTACCCTGAAGAAGTCTGACTTACAGCTGGCAATGGGAACCAAACTCTACACTTGTATAGGGACTGAATGGCTCATTTTCATTTACCCTTTATTTATACTCATTGAGTCACGAGAACTCATTTTCAAGAGAGACCTGTTTTTAGGGAGCAGATGGTGGGGGTTAAGGGCCTTACTCAGGGGCCCAGAGTGGGGTGAGTGATGGTGGAGGCAGGTGTGAGTGTTTCACCTTTTCCACCTACATTTTGATTTTGTTGGTCCGGGGAGTTGATTCTGCAACTTTCTGATCACAGGCCCATCTTCTCTAACCTCTATGCCACCACTCCCCCAGATCAGACCCCCAGTCCCATACTCACGGGGCTCCACCCACAATGTACCTGGAGGAACACGGTAGAACACCTTCTCCAAGTGCACAAAACACACGTAGACTGGGTGGGCAAACTTTCATGCTCCCTCAAGGACCCTAGTGAGGGTAAAGAGCTGGTCCATTATTCCTAGGCCAAGCTGAAACTTACATTATTCCTCCTGAATCCAAGAGTCGACGGGGTCATTCTCTGAATTCAGTGCACTTTGGGTTCTCAGATAACTGAAAAAAATACGACAAAAAATTGTCTTTCTGAACATTGCATCTACTGAAGGACTATCTGAACCTCCAAGAAAATATGTTTTCCCACCTTGTGCATGAAATCCCAAACATTATTATGAACTTCTTTGTTACTTAGATTGTTTTAAATTCAACCCCGTAATGGGACAATTTGATTCCTGTATGAGTATAACTCTAAAACATAATCAAACTAATTCTTCCAATTCCTTTGTAATCACCTGTCCCTCATGTAAAATAACTTATTGTAAGTATTTTTATTTAAATCTAAATAATAATAATTAGACTATCAAGTAGAATATGGCAACTTGAACTTATACACGGTCTTTATAAATCATGAAAATACATTAATATAAACATTAGATCAGGCTTTTTTTTATGTTTTCCACTAGTCCTCTAAACTTTGCATACAGTTCAACAAAGATTTGTTTTATTTTTATTAATATCAAAAAAATGTATAACAATGTATCAAAAAACAGTTTTGAACACACTGTAACAGGGTTGAATGCATGACAACATTTAATCAAGTTAAAATTGACTTTAACTCGTTTAAAGAAACGAAGAAAAAACAACACTAGATATATAGTATTTAACATTGTTTAAAAATAACATCAAATTTAGACTGAACAGATCTGTTTTATGTGTAGAAAAACGAAGGACAGCATAGGCTGAATGTTGTATACAAAATCTCTCACTGGAATCAGTTTAACAACACAACTGACATCACAACAAAGTTACATTCTTAACTATAAATGTTATTATAAAAATCATTTTATATGTGCTTGAATCTGTCATCTGTGCTATCAGCAATAAAAACAATAGTACATGGCTCTAAAAAATGGGAACTGAGCGTTAACTAAACTCTGAATGATTGTGGATGGTTTCTTTTCTTATCTGATCTGTTGTTCCTGCTATTTGTTGTACATTCATCCTTTAGTCAGATCTCAGATCTCTTTCTGAATTTGCATGTGATGTGAATCACGTCCTGTCACGGGCTGAGGAGGCGGGATGAGCTCGAGAACATCATCAAATGGATACCACAGTACATCCTCTTGTAGAGACCAAAATAATCTGTTTTTGGTTATCCCAGCATGGTCTGAAAAGATCATGCTGGGATAACATTTAGAGAAAAGGGGCTGACTGGCTTAAGAACAGTTCAACCTTCAACTCCGTAACAATGTTTCAACCCTGTAACAGTGGCTTTTGTTATGGGGTTGAACGTTATGGGGTTGAAGATTTAAGCTAAAATTAGCCATAAGTCCACATTAGCTAGGATATGGAGCAGCACATGGCATGAGGAAAACAAGAAATTATATTTTTCCAAGACGGTTCTTCGATTTTTCCCAAACAATAGTAAATATGATTTATGCATTTAACCGTGTTGAAAGGTTGAGCTTGACTATGACCATGAGGGTCAATTCATCTCACAAGACCCTCGAAGCATGTGGTGGGGCATTAAGTGCATAACAGATTATAAAGGAAGGAGTGAACAATGCCCCAAAGACCCATCTCTGCCTGATGCCCTCAACAAGTTCTATGCACGCTTTGAAGACCCGAACAGACCACCCAGCACCAGACTCACCTCACCACCGGACGAAGAGCATCTCAGCGTGACCTCAGCCGAAGTAAGGAGTACTTTCAGGAGGATTAATCCGCACAAAGCAACTGACCCAGACAACATCCCTGGAAAAGTGTTGAAGGAATGTGCTGATCAGCTCTGTGAGGTGCTGGCAGACATCTTTAACACCTCACTTACCCTGGAGACAGTTCCCACTTACCTGAAGACTGCCACCATCATCCCAGTCCCAAAAAGCTCTACAGTGACTGGTCTGGATGACTATCGGCCAGTGGCCCTCACCCCGATAGTCGCTAAATGCTTTGAAAAACTGGTCATGACTCACATCAAAACAACCATCAACATCAACGAGGACCCTCATCAGTATGCATACCGTGAGAACCTATCAACAGAGGATGCCATCTCCTCTGTGGTCCACACTGCACTCAACCACCTGGAGCAGAAAAACTTTTACGTCCGTATGCTCTTTGTGGACTTCACATCCGCCTTCAACACCATGATCCCCCAAACCCTGATGGACAAACTATCCACACTAGGACTAAGCCCCTCCATCTGCAACTGGGTACTAGACTTTTTA